TTTAGAAGCTCACTAAATTTTTTATGAGACCCTTATTTGATTTATCAAGATATTGCGATGATTGTTTACTGCATCCTGCATACATGCTCATTAGGATGCTATTTTCAAGCCGTTCGTAGTATGTTCCAACGTTGAAATATTTGTGGTGATTATTGAGTATTTTCAATTTAATTTCCAAAGTCTTGCGTGTCAGAAGAATACACAAGAACACAAGAACACAAGAGTAGAGAAATACGGGAAAGTAAACTTTTGTTTATTCATATGGCAAGCCTTTATCGCACCACTATGATCAAAAAAAGAAATCTGTAGGCTGATTATATTCAGGAGGAAAATAAAATAGAAGACAGCAAAGTATTTTTCTTGCCATTTGATTATATAAGAAAATGAACCCCCATCAATCGGTTTCAATTTGTTTGGATTATTTCATTTCACCAATAATAAATTCGCTCTTATCATATATCATTCTTGCTTGTTGTTTGACATCCACACACGGAGAAACAAAAAGTTGGATTTCCATAGAGAAATGCCATTGCGCCGGTGAAGGACAATCCCTTTGTTTATGTTGTGTGGCGACATCTACTATTTGCAAGTGGCTACGTGAAGCTAAGGTTATCTGTCACCTTGGCGGAGACTTGATCGTCGTCTACTGCCTTCGACAGTGTGCCGCCAGCAGTGGACTAGCAGCTAAATTCAAGAAGGACCTGTCCACCATCACCCGTACCGGTTCCCGCTTCGTACTTGGAGGAGATATAAACGCTCGCCATGAGGCCTGGTGGAACTACCAGCAGAACCAGAACGGTCGCCTGCTGTTCGACCCCTCTCACAGCATGTGCTGTACTCCGTTTGGTTTTCGGATGAACCAATATTTATCTCACCGGCGGGCAACTCATCGACGCTAGACCTATTCCTGACAAATATCGGCTTGTCCAAGCCGGTAGCCTTGAACGAACTCAGCTCCGACCACCAACTGGTGGTGGCTGAACTGGGGTGCAACGTGACTCCTGCTTCAACCCTGCGCAAGGACTACCATCGCGTAAACTGGGCCCAGTTTGGACGCGTGGTAGACAGGCACATCATCGACAACCCGCCGCTTGACACCGTGGTGGACATCGACCGAGCGTTGGACGGACTCCACCAAGCCATAACCGTGGTTGACGAGGCGTGCGTCCGACGAGTTCCTGTGAGGGGTAAGTTTATTGCCATTGATTCCCACACCCAACTCTTGATTCGCCTGAGAAATGTTCGTAGACGCCAATTTCAGATGACTGGAGATCTGGGAAAAAAAAACGTGAAATGGCCGATCTGAACAGGCAGACTGCTTCCAGAATGGACTCACTTCGAAATGAAAGTTTCGGGCGTGTTGTCCAGAATCTGGACGACCGCTCCAGACCATTCTGGAAGGTAGCCAAGGTCCTGAAAACTCATCCCAAACCCATTCCACCTCTCAGAGTCGAAAATGATGACGATCGGCTTCTAATCACCCCACAGGAGAAAGCAAATGCGATCGGCGAGCATGTCGCTTCATCGCATTTGCTTGGCTCAAATATCCAAAGTCCGCTCGAAGATCAGGTTGCGCAATGCGTTCAAAACCTAGATGCCTCCCCTTGTGTCGTGCCTTCCGGCGGATATGATTACAGTACAACAAATTTGCTCAGCGCTGAAATGCACCAAGAACATGAAGGCTCCCGGGTTTGACGGTATATTCAACTTGATCTTGAAGAGACTCAGCATGAAAGTGCAGTCTCTTCTAACCGCTATCTTCAACAGATGTATGATTTTTGCTACTTTCCAAGCATCTGGAAAGTAGCAAAAATCATACCAATCCGCAAACCCGGTAAGGATCCAACATTGTCTTCAAGCTACAGACCAAGCAGCCTCCTTTCAGCGCTGAGCAAATTGTTCGAGAAACTCATTCTCAATCGTTTGCTCAAGTTTGCCCAGGAAAACAACAGTTTGGATTCAGGAAGGGGCACTCCACCAATCATCAGCTAGTACGGGTGATGAATAACATCCGAAGTAACAAAGCTGTATCCAAGTCCACAGCCATGGCCTTGCTATACTATGAAAAGGCGTTTGACAATGTTTGGCATGACGGACTTGTGTACAAGCTTTGTAACTTCAACTTTCCTTTACATCACCCGTAACTACCTCCAGCAAAGATCGTTTAATGGTTGCCTTTTAGACACGTTTTCCATCCCAGCAGGAGTCCCGTAAGGCAGCCTGCTGGGTTCCTTGCTTTACAGCATTTACTTTTCCGACATTCCTCCCCTCGGAGACGGTTGCGTGTTTTTCCTGTTTGCAGATGATACCGCAATAGCCGTCAAAGGAAGGATGCCTCGCGAAATAAAGAACAAACTTCAACGATGCCTTGACGCCTTTGCTGATTATGCCACCACGTGGAACATCAAAATCAATGCTTCCAAAGCACAAACAATAATGTTCCTCCATCGGCAATCACCCAAACTAAAACAGGCTCCCTCTTGTACTGTAATCATGGATGGCACAAGGGTTGAGTGGTCCGCCGAAGTAACCTATCTCGGGATGTTGTTTGACGAAAAGCTCCTATTCCGCTCGCATGTGGAGAAAACCGTAATCAAGTGTTCCGCCTTGGTTAGGTGTCTGTATCCACTGATTTGCCGCAGATCCCGCCTCTCAAGGGTGAACAAACTGGCCATCTACAAACAAATCATAGCACCTGCGATCCTCTACGCAGCTCCGGAGTGGGAATTATATGTGAAAACTCACAGTTACAAAATCCAGGTCTCTCAGAATAGAGTGCTGAGGATGGTACTTGATCGTCCGTTCAACACTAGAATATCACATTTACACGAAGAGGCAGGCATTTCCAAAATAGATTCCAGAATTAACGAAATTAACACTAAATTTGCACAAAAATGCATTTTATCAGAACATGCTTTGCTAAGCAATTTGTACATAGTAGATTAGGTCCCAAGTAACAATTCAGTAACCATTTAGCATCCACTCTGACTTATGATAGTTTTATAACGGCAATGAACAATCCATTTAGTTTAAATATAGCATTTCAAAGTGTAAAACATTCCTGCTTAGTAATTCAGCTTTTTGCTGTTTTAAAAACCTTTTATAATCTGGCAAGAAAGTCAAAAACTGTCTTGTTTTCAAAATAAATTTAAAACAGTTATCAATCCCTCCTTAAAACTGTTCTGCAATTCAAGCATAAACGTCATTAGCAATTGTTTATTAATGTCTTGATAAAATACTTTATAAACGTGTTCTATCATTATAAAAGCAACCACAAAACCAGTAGGTTTTGCATTAGAGCAAAAAGCATTTATTGTTGCTTTTTAGGCTTTTTAAAGTGCATCATTAACTCCCCAATTACTCTGTTTAAAAATTGAGCTTTAAAGATGGTTCCTCATAGTTAATAAATGCCAAATTTATGACAAGGAAATCTCGAAAGATAGACGAAGTAGGATAAAAAATCAAGTCAATTTCAGATAAATTTACTTCTATAGAAGAACCAGCATACCACCAACGACTGACCATCTGTGGGAGAAGAGTAAAGTGAGCGGAGCCCTCGAACTCCTATAACATTGTCGAAAGTTGAAAAACATACGCCTTCTCCAGATCTTGCGATGACAATCGAAATAACAACCGACAGCAAACCACTGAAACTGTTAGTTAGCGGAGATTAGCTGGTTTCCTATCTAAAGCAGCGATTTTATTCGGCGAAAGAATCAACTCTTTGAAAATTTCATTCAAGCGTACATCCCTGCATCATTGGATGGTGCACTTCTGTAACCATCCAGAAGAAGGGGATATTTTTCGGGAACGATTGCGCTTCCAGCTGTTCGAAATGCGAAATGTTGTAAAACAGTATCGCAAACTATCTGAGTAACTGCTCCCAATCCATCGGAAGAAAATCGCCTGGAAGAATCCTGAATCTCACAGCGCAACTATCGAAAGATAAACAAACTTTGACGTTTAATTTTTTGCAGGCAACTTTGCCTCCATAAATGCTGCCATAAATCTGAACAGGTTAGGATCAAGCAAAATGGCTTTAGATAAATACTATTCAGCCTGCAAGCTTTCATCATAAAAGCCATTTTAAAACCTTATTAATTTGTTAAGGAATTCTTGAAAGCAAAACAACTTTTTCACAAATGACCCATGAAAATCAACTTTTATGCCACCGCCATGTTACAATTAGTTTGCTTGTTTTTTACAATCTTCTATTTTCGATCTATATTTCCTTAGATATAACTATATTTTGGTAAATTTAGCAATGAGCAAACATTTAAATGCGAAAATAATAAAAAAATCTCGGCCAAGCTCGATCTGAAGAATATTTTTTTTTCAATGCTAAATAATTAGTCAAATCGACGTGTATATAGTAGTTGTAGGTTAGTTGTAGTTGTAAATAGTAGTGATAAGTAGTTTTCTTTTTCAATTTAAAACAAACCAATCCCACCAAGGTGGTCATTCTCTAAAACAGGCCTGATAGGACTAGGAACTGTAATTAATAATAATTGAAATTAAAAAGAACGAAAGTTGAAAAGACGCATCGGTCTCACTTGATAAGTTATACATGTAAACAACACAAATTCAAGAAATAAAGATCATTTAAAGTAAAAAAAAAGATACCCCAAAATGCAGCTGATTTCTAGCTGTCGATAATAGAACAGCTGTATGAGACGCCAGATTAAATAGCAAGCTTGCCGAATAGAAATAGGTTGCCGATAATAGTGGCAATGATCTGAGAAGATTGGAATGTTGTTAAAACTTTTTGCAACAGTTTTTAACAATCCCATCGATTGAAATGGCTAGAGCAACCAGCACCTTGCAAATGTAAACAAACAAACACGTTGATATGTGTGCGCTACACAGAGAAAATCCCCATAGAAGTACGGACGCTGATTAGATTGACGAGAATACGTAAGATCCCATATTGTTCATGAACTGATTGTTCCCTTGGTACACACGAATGTTTTCGTAATGTTCGGGAGTCGTCAAGCACTTACGTAAAATCGTCTTTCTGCTTCTTGGTGACATCACAGTGCAGACACATCTTATCCAGAGGAAGTTCGTTCTTTCTCGCCGTTGACTGCATGATTGCAGTAAGCAGTGACTGCGGGTTGAAGAATCCTGCAAGCCAAACTGACGTTGGAAGCTGAAAATAATCGAGATTGAGTCCCATTATTAGAGTGAATAATTAGAAAGTCATTGTGTGAACTAGGGTCTATACTTACGACAAAATCAGCCGACCAGGTTTCCAGCTCACGTAGTCTTAGCAATAGGTCGACGAACCACGCTGTCAAACCCAACAGCGATGGATATGCCCGGGCACCCCAGATCGTAGGGACTTGATCCAAAAAAAGTGAATTCTCCAAGTCCTCCATATCGGATGTGATCGTCAGCTCACCCTTCATACCGAGATCCAATTCCTTCAGACTCCTCTTCATTTCTCCGGTAAGGTAGTTCATCCGTTCGCACTCCTGGAACGCTACCACCACGTAGGGTGTGCGTTCTTCTACCTTTCCCATGATCTCCGCCATGTTGAATTCCTCCGGGAGCTTTTCCACGATTTCGTCCAGTATCTGCTTTACTTTGTCTTCTCGGGTGACCGTCGTTCCGGACCCGGCACCGGCGTCACGTGGCTGCATTTCGAACACTGTTCGAAACAGGTTCTCGGATGTTGTTGTTAGAAAACCGATTTCCGCATTCGGGTGTAATCCATACAGATACGGTGACTCTGGAGGCATTGCATCGTCTATGTAAGCGTGATAGCCAACATAGTCAGTATTCGGGGGAGCGGCGAATCCTGGAGCTAGAAACAGTTCGCCGTCGACTAGATCAGGTTGCATAAGTTCTTCAAGATATGTGATACACGTTCTGCGGTCCCAATCGTCGGTAATGTGACCACCGTACATAATTTCACCAAATAGATAACGCAGATCTTCCCATGGAACTTTCGTGTTTGCTTCCAAGTAGTTGTACAACACGGAAACCGAAATGTTCAGATCACCTACATTGAAGGGATAGATTTTGTTCCATCCTTGTGGTCCAAATTTGCGCCGTTCAGCAACGACGGCATGGAAGTAGCAAAGTGAGAAGAGAATTACTTTGAATTCAGCTTCCTTTCCACACATTTCCAGTGTTTCCTGCGTAAAGTTGTCCAAGGCCTTGTGCAGGTTGGCCTGCATTCCCGTTGGCGGTTCGTTAGTAATCTTGATGGAGGACTCCAGGATGCCTTGTGGAATGATATGGGCCGATGCGGTAGCCGCCGGTTCTGCGCTCATGAATATGCGATAGTTATCGTGGGATCCTTCCGAGTAGTACTCCAGTTTTTTCTCCAACGAGGGAAGCCATTTTTTCACCAGATGAATGTTTTGCAGTACAACCCAGTGCCCACTGGTTGCTGCTTTGTCCATGGCCGCTTCGGCAACCACTTCCTGACCTTGGCCAAGGGAAACGTTATAGAAATTGTCATTATCTGCAGAGTAGCCCAAATGTTTGCCCAGGGATTCAACATCCTTCAGCGGATTGACACCCGGTGACAGAATGAAGAAAATTGGCGTTGATGGACTGGCCTCTTCAAATGATTTTGCAAATTCCATAGTGCGGTTCTCAACGTATTTCGCACCAAGTTTTTCCTCGATGAAATCTCTATAAAGCAATAAAACATAATTTTAAAAAAGCACGGTTTACGTTCACAACTATATGTACGTCATTGCGTAGGTCATTCGATCCGGTCTCAGCGCGCGCATCATGCAAAGTCTCTGAAGAGCAGTTTTGTTCTTCCACTCCTGTGGGAACTTTTCCTTTTCCGGACATTCTGACTCGATGAGCTTTTTCCAACGCTTGGAAGACGTTTCTATATCGCGATCCAGGTTACGGAACTCATCCTTGGAAGCAAGACTGCAGATACCACCCCATGCGGTGTTGGTGAGGAAATCCACTGGTGAAGTAACGTGTGGCTTAATGGGGAAACGTAGCAGAAAGTCAAGCTCCGCAGGGGTGATTTCTTCACGGATCAGCAAAATCTAAGGACGAACGAGCAATACTAAAGTGTGCGTACGCTAGGTTGCATAAATGTTTACCTGGAATGCCATTTGGGACATGAAGATTAGTTTGTCGCATTCAAACAAACCTCTAGTGGTGTACTGGAAAACTGAAAACGATATGCAATCGATAAGGTTATTGACTCTGGCCGGTACTGTGTCCGCTGGATCGGCTTTTGATATGGCTTTTTGGAAGACTACACTGAATGCCTTCAGTGAGAATTGATAAATTGGATTGATGGTGTTCAGATCATTCAGGATGAAGTACAGCAAGCTGGCACGAGCTGCTGCCGGTCGGTAGTGTTCACGGGCTTCATCAATCTCCTTCGATGTTACCTTAGCTTCAGTGACCTTCTCCTCGATTTCCGCAGCGGTTTTCTTAGTAGTTTCGAGGTTTTCTACCAGTGCTGTGTCGCCTAGGATGTTGCCACCAGCTGAGGATAGACGCGAAAGGAGGTCGTCTTCCAATGTTTTAAGCATAATCTTGAAATCGTTCTGCTGCTTGGTAAGATCTGCCTTAAGTTCCTCTAGATCGGGACGTTCGGCTTTGACGACTTCGGCCAGAAGTTGGTCCTCGAGACCATCCCTAGTGACGGTAAAGTTGATGAGCGTAGTTTGCGCTTGCATTTCGGGTTGATAGTGCTGAAAAAGAGAATTCATATATACAGACCAATAGTCGGACAATCATGTTGCATTCTAGGTTTACCGGATTTGCCAGTTTAGTATGTAGAATCAATCGGAACTTGTGATTGTATTCCACTTCTTTGTCTCCTATCTTGATGGCTCTGTGAGTTGCAAAATGTATTTAGAATTCTACAGTGATTTTTTATACCTCCTACTTACCTTCCTTTTTTGATCAGGTTCCTTCCTAGCAAAGGGTTTAGCACCGGATCTACATTTTCTCCGATGTTCTCAATTAGCACGGTACTTCCTTTGGCTAATGCTTTTTCAAGTACCTCTAGATATCCTTTGGATCCAAGACGGATAACTTTCAAAATGTCTCCGTACTTTTGCTTGATCCATTTGATACCTTGTAGCTGCGGGTCGATCATCAACGGCCATCGATCGGAGTTGGAAAGAATCGTAGCATTTTCGATTGACATTCGATCACTAGGCAAGCCTTCATTTTGCCAGGTTGCAATCTGAGTGTCATCGGTTAGTAATCTTAATGGATCAAGGCTGTCCGTTATTGGAATGCCTGGTTCTAGAGCGCGCAAGAAAGGTAGCCACATTTTGTTAAGCAAGTCCATTCGGAACTGTTTAGTGAAACAGCCGACGTATGATATGAAGGCCGTGATTAACAAAATATCTCCCGGTAGAGTTGTCGCTTGCTGCATGAATCTGAAATTGACAGAGGGCTTGCATTTATTCACTTTTGATAATTGTATTCAGTTTAGTGGATTTACTCAGCCACTGCTTCCGCCCAACGAACGTTTTCACTGGCAAGACCACCAACCAGCCGATTGGCGAGCTGAATAGTGGCTTGTGTAGCATCTGCCTCCTGCTGACAACGAAGCTTGTCGGCAATAGCCTTTTCAAAATCAGCAGTCAGTTTAGCAAGTTGTTCCTCCAATGACTAAAAAAAAACCGAATAGTTGTAATTCGTTTGGACCACCCTCCGCCCAGTAGTCAATCCAATACATACGGAAACTTTCCTCTTGATGTTGGCCAATTTTTCCTGTGATGCACAGAGTTCCGCATTGGCCGCCGCCAGTGCTTTCCTCTTCGGTTCAACATCGCAAAACACATCGTAGAATTTGATAACATTGATAACCCATGCGCAAAGCCCGGCAGCCGCAGCTGACTTCGACCTTACGAAATCAGGATCGAATTCCGTATCTTTCAGGTACGGTTGAATAGCTTTGATGATCTCCGGGTGGATATGTTCTTTGTCGTAGGTGATCAGCATATCGAGGAAGTTATCGACCTTGGCCATCATGATTTTGGCTGATTTCCAGCTACGATCTTTTGGAATCTTACCGTTCGGTGCTAGCAGAACCATGACGGCAGCTGTTACGTTGGTCACAACACCAGGAGGCGAGCCGAACGACTTCAACTCAGTTAGATTGGCTTTGTTGAGGGTGTTCAAAGCTTCCTGGGCTGCAACCAGTGCTGGTTCTGCTTTGACAAGATCTTCTTCACAATCGCGTTGCTTCTTAGCGACTTCTTTCGCAATAACGGCAACTTTCTGTTCCTCCTCGTCGGCAATTGCCTTTTCTGTTTGAACTTTCTCTGTTTCAATGCCGACCATTTCAATCAAAGCATCAGCGGCATCGTTCTTTTCCTTTAGCTCGATTTCCTGAACTGCTAGTTTTTGCTTGAGTGTTGCTACTTGATCGGCTGTGGTGCGAAGTTTTTCCAAACCGTTTTCCAGACGTTCAACCTTCTTGCGTAGTTCACCGTGTTTTTCCTTCAGCAACTTATCATACAAGCTGATCTGTTCCAGATAGGACTTTGGAGTTGTGTAGTTGTAGCGCCGTTCATTTTGTAAATAGACTTTTGACATCGAGTTGACCGAGGTGTGTACGTAAGCCATGAACCGTGCAATCGAGTCCTTGCAATCGCCCGGTAGAATAGTCAACTCTTGTAGGAACCGCAACGACACGGACATCAAGGCTTCCTGCGGCCACTCGTGGAACCAATTGATTTGAGTACATGTAATTATAGCAGGAAATTTGCGTGAGCGCACACGTAGCGTAATGCCGACGGGTGAAAAGCATAGAACGACCTTCAGCTGGCGGCGAACACGATCGATAAAGAATTTCCAGCAATTTTCACGTGTGTCAACCAGACCGGCACCTTTCACTTCGTTGCGTACACCAGAGATGATGTTTTCCACTTCGTCATCCGGGAAAAGATCCGGTATTTCACCGGACGAGAGCAAATCGTTAATGATCACCAGAAAGCTCTCGCTCGATACTTGGGCATCGGTCATGAGGAACATGATACCGACGTTTTTGAGACCTGCTTTCAGGTACAATCCGGAAAGCTCATTCTAGAATGAAAGAAAACAATTGGCATTCAAATCAAAACATACTATCCAAATACCTTTAGATCGGCAACACTGTATCCTTTCTTGAGCTGGATTTGAGCCACCTCCAAACTGGAGATGAACGCCGCTAGGCGACTTAAGGACTGCTTTCCACTGCCTCCTACTCCCACCAGTAGGGCACTCCCACGGGGTGATTCCAGGATTCGATTAATTCTGTTGAAAAATGAGATATTGCTTAAGCAATGTATTGGAAGATCCAAGACGTTCAAACATTCCTACCTGCACACGTGCATCATGGCGTCCTCAAAGAGAACCAAATTCATTGCAGCGATCAGATCATTGTAGGACATCATCGCTTCTTGCAGTAGCTTGGATAGTATACCCCAGTCCGTGATAGGCATGTATTTGGGTTCACCAATGCCTCCGGCAAAGTGACAGTAGATGTTTGGTTTGTCGAACACGATAGATTCGTCAATTTCTTCAAACGACTTCTTCACCAAATCGTTCTGCATCTTGGTAAAGCTGTCAATATCTTTGTCATCCAGTAGCTTATCGCCGTAGACCCGTTGGGTTTCGTGTAGCCACAGTCGGATAAAGTCGTTGGACGTGATCAAGCAATCGTTGGTGCTGAAAAGGAGTCCCTGAAAACCGAATCCGAAACAGATTATCCCTAATGACCTTATGCCTAGTTACCCATCGTGGCTACCTGAAAGACGTTCGTCAGATCACGCAGATTGAAAACGTAGTGAAACTTGATGGCCGTCGGAAGAAACACTTGTGCCACTTTAGAGTGCAGAGCCAAACTTGCTGCGACAATATTTTGTGATATTTTAGTTACAGCTATGTTGAACTTCTGTTCCGCGTTCGCAAAGTGCTGGAGAAGGATCGAATGATAGATGGTGGTAACAGCCTCAGAGCCGGGAAAGCTCACAGCGAATACACAAAAATGACGTTGCAATCGGGGGTTGATCGTAAAACTACCCGAGGTGGGATTCATACACGATACGTACTGACAATTGTGGATGTCTTTTAGGGTAAGCTTATTCCGATCGTACCAATGGCTGTAGTCCATGTGCTGCCGAATTAGTGTATGAGGTTGAACCGTTCCGTAGGTATCCACCTCAGGCATGTTCATGTCGTCGATAAAGTAGATTAGCGTTTTGCTTCCGGGAGGACCGTAGTTACGACCCGCTTTCTTTTCTAATGGTTTCTCCATAACTTTTTGAAGCATCTCAGAAGAGGTATAGAAATTGAACGGGATGTTTGCAATGGCAAAACTCTCAGATAAATTTGCCAATTTCTCGTTGACGACGACCGTTTTGCCACAACCTGCAATACCGACCAGCATCACAGGATGCGCACGATCCATCAACAGATCGAGAAAGAATCTTAAACGAATTGATTCCGATGTGTGCACTAACACCGCCTGTAGCGGTTGATCGCAGTCCATCTCAAACTTGGGAAGAATCTCCGTCCAGGGAGTCCACTGTTTGGTTTCTGTGTCGATAAAGTAGTCGAACACGGTTCCGGTAGGGGGGAATTTCACAGTTTTGAATTCATTGACCCACCATTTGCTGAACTCGACGCGGTAATCAATAGCCGCGTCTTGGAACATAGCTGAACCGAATGCCCAAACGCATGAGAACACAAAATATAGGTCATGCCACTCCTTCGGACAATCAGCGGGAGTATTGAGTGGGATCAAGAGACACTCCAATAAGTGACAAAGCATTTGGATGTGGGCCATCTCGGCGATCGGGGTAATCTTCTTGAATCGCGTGCGGATGTTATCCAGACAGGCCGGGATGTACTTGTCGAACAGGATGACCAGGTTGGATTTTTCAGCTGGGATCGTTCGGGTTTCGATCCAACTCGTAACGTACCTAAAACAAAACGAACCTATTAGTGTCCCAACGAGGGTTCGGAATCATTGGGAACGAAAATTACGGATTCCATCCCAAGTCTTGCGGGTTTATGTACAGAATACCGGCTCGCGATACAGTAGCTGGAGTAGCCGTTCTTAGGTTAGATATCTCAAAGATCAGTCGCATGTATGGGGTCAATGCTATACGTTCGTTGGAAGCTAGCGTCAGAACCTTGTTGTCGTCCATTACGGTATTTAAACTTTCGATCCACATCGGATCGATATCACCATCCAGAATGATCCATTTTGGGTTATCTCCGGAAAGACTGGCTTGGTCTCGCATGATGACCGAGAAAAGTCCATCTTTCCATTCTCTGGTGGCTGGGTTGATAATTCCGAAAAGTTCGTCATTAGTAACTGCCTTTGGGTTGAGATCGTTGAACACCGGTTTCTTTTTGATATTTTGGTACGTTTTGTGCAAGGTTTTCCAAACTTGAGTCTTACCGGTACCCGCATTACCCACAATGAAAACCGAATGTCGCACTTCTAGTAGTTCCTCCAACTGTACAACCTTCAGGATAAAATTATCCTCTGGTTGCAAAGCGAGATCCAGGGTCGCTTGCTTCACCGTTTTCTCAAATTCCATGTCTCGCTTTCTTGGTACATCCAGAGCCGGGAACAGATCTCCAATCAGCCCCATGAACACGGGCATATCGTCAGTGACGATTTTGGGGATGTTGAAATCACGCAACGCTCTCATCAACACTTCTTCCTCGGGACGGCCAGGATCTCCGCGCTGCAAAGATACATAGCCACATTGGAATTCCGAGCGGAGTATGGCAATGTGAACCTACCTTGAGCGATCCGGCAACGACAAGTACCGATTTAATAGCTCGCAATCCCCAATCGTAGTGATCTTGCTTTGATAGCAGTTCTTTGCACAGTGTGTACAAGGTGATGAACTTTCTAGCAAGCACTCGGGCGTCTTGAAAGCCTTCAGCAACCAGCATAATTTCACAGATCAACTCGAAATCGGGAACAACCATTGCGCACGGTCTAGCAAAGAAGGAAACGAAAGCTGTATAAAAATTCTCACTAAATAACCTCTTAAAGCATACCTGAACAGTGCCTTCAAATTCTCAGGCAACTCCGTACGTCCAGCGTAACCCGGGTTCATCGTAATGAAAATACCAACCGTGGGAATGCACGCTATAATCTCACCCATAAAGTTGAACTTGTCTTTCTTGTCCCGAATAGCGTCCTGCACGGATTTGACTTGTACGGCTACCACGGACAGCACTTCGACCGAGATTCGATTGAACTCGTCGAAACATCCCCAGGCACCGGTCTGTGCCAGACCTTTGTAGATATTTCCGCAGGATTTGTAGTCCATCTGTTCGGAGCAGTTGAATACGTAGACCATGATGCCAAGAGCTCGGCCGAGATCCTTGGTGGTCTCGGTTTTTCCTGTACCGGCTGGCCCGGCTGGACCTCCTCCCATCACAAGATGCAAGGACTGCGTTAATGTGATGTAGCAGCGATCAGTTAGCGGAGTAATCACCAAACGTGGTGTGTTTCCAAGATATTCATGACTGTAAATAAACTGTGCGTCGCAGATGTTTGCGAAGCAGTCCTTCTCTGTATCGTCCCAACGGTGACGCAGCTGAGATTGCCACTGGAAGGCCGATGCACTTTCTACCTTGGATTGGATCAATTTGCTAACGACATCCCGTGAGTGTACATCGATCGTACAGATGGTCATAATCTTTTGACGATCACCTCTCGTCAGCTCGCCGAGCAAAAGGGTAATCAGCGTGCTGAGTTGGGAAATTTGCTTCTTGTAGTAATCCTTGATGGCATTATCGTAGCCCTCCTCCAGCCGACTGAAGGCAATATTAACCTCAGTGCTCCACCAAATCTGCGTTCCACAAAGTGAAACCTGAGCCGGATAATCGAATAACCAGTGCTCACGCTGCTTTTCCTCGTATGACACGACTGCTTCGGCGATGTAGTTGCGAAGGGAAGTTCTCATCGATCCTTGCACTTGATTCAACCAGACTTCAACCTAAAATGTAATGGTAGGGTGCAACTCAGTTCGATACTTGATATTATTTGGAAATACCAACCGGTCCCGTACAGCCGCATATTTCGTAGAATTTGACATACTCGGTGTCCTTCGCTATCATGCCAAGTGAGAACTTGGTAGCACCGTCGGCTTCCGATCGGAACTTGAGTTTTGCTATGGAGTCGAACAGTTTGGTAAGATGCTTGCAGACCACTTCTGGCCTGTTGCCGTTGCTTAAAATGTCCAGCAAATCAGCGGACGATATGAAGTAGAATCTAGGGAAATACAACCGCTTCGTTTCTAGATACTCAGCAAGAGCTTTCTCGCACAGCGTCAGTTCGCTTTGCAGTTCGTCGAGTTTCTCGCAGAGGCCATCTCGATTGGTGGCGTGAATTACGTTGGATGTTTTGGACATTTCTTCCATCATGACTTTGAAATCTGTATCGATTTGATCGAAACGAGCCGAATCAATCGGAAGTTGTTTCCGGATGTCTTCGGAGCTCATAAAGATCGATTCCAGATGGGTCCAGGTTCGCTGGACTTCGAACCAAACCGTGATGACCTGATCGGCGGTGGTCAGCTTTTTCTGCCAGCCGGACACTTCTTCCAGGAAGTGTGCGACAAACTTGGAGGTCATTAAGTTCTGTAGAACAACTTGGTTTTCTTCCAGTGTTTCGATGAGCTCTTCGGAGGCTTTGAGAAGCGAGCAGCCGGTTCTTGAATGAATTTCGTGCTCGAATTCCATGACCGACCATGTAGTGTTCAGATCACGGAGAATCTTTTCCATGGACATTTCTTTGACGGCTTTGTCGACGATGTTCTTGACCTCTTCCTCGCATTCGTGTAGGTTCAGGGCCAGGAGGTCCGACAGCGTTGTATTTTTGTCCATTATGAATTGGACCTAGAAGTGGAGGTCAGGGTTAGTGTAGCATATATAGGATAAATGTATAGTTGTAGTCAAAATCAAAAATCTAACAGTGTGGGTAACTGGGTGAACATTGAGTTTCTTATCTCGAATGCGTATTTACATAGCTTGATAACTTACTGTAATCTCTGGCGGCAGATTAGCTAAACTCTGTGGAAGGCAAACGACGGTATGTACAAGTTTTGGGTTACAGATGTGTGTATTTACAGGAGGTTCATTAAAGTAAGGTGTTGTTACATTGATGCGGAAAAAAGAGACACGGAAAAGAAGAGAAACGTTAAACATTCAGGTATGTACAAAGCAATACTTTTCAATTGATTCCATAGCTAACAGAGCGCAGAGGAAAAGGATGCGGGAGGTAATGAAATTATTCCACACATTTAGTGCAACATGGTCAACATGATATGTCCGCCAACCGTTTAGAAGCGGTGGCAGACAAGGACTAGGTGCTTTTCAACGATTCGTACAAGTTGATATTGAAGAGGAGGATAATTCAATTAGCTACTAACTGTTTTGTTCATATTGAGGGTTGCGTGATGCGGAATCATTATGGTTCATAGTTTGCAGGTGATTTGGTAGATCTTAATGGGGGAGAGTTCCGGTCGTTTGGATGGAGTGTGTTTTAATGGTTGCAATGTATCTCGATGAAAAGCGCCTGTCAATATTACTACTGGACACGTGCCATGTGGGGAATACTTTCACGACCTGTGCTATTCTTATTTGGATAACAGTCGAGGAAGATTTGTGGCAATGGATGGGTCATAAAACCATCTCCTCGATTGTTCAATAGAACGAAAATTTGGAAAATGAATAGAAATTTAACAGACTTAGCCGTAGTTCCTGATGAACCAAAGCGTCGTATTAACCTTTGTCGAGGACATCAGTTGATTCCAGTGACGTTCTCGGATGGCCGGATTCTGTAGTTCACCGACAGCTCGGAGCGAGGTTAGCATGTTCTTCACGGTGGCTTCCAACGTCATGTAGGTATCCCATGAACGCATTTCCTTGTCTAGTAAACGGATATCTTTGGCGAATTTCTTACACTCGATATCCATGTTTTCAACGTCGACCTTGCGCCAGGGGGTTGTCTTCCAGTCTTCGATACTGGTACGTACAATGTAAACGTAATCCCAGAGTTGCTGAAAAGAAAATCTCGCTTTAGTAAAATGTCCCAAAAACTATCCAGAAAGATCCTACCTTTAGCATTTTCATTTCCTTGCGACATTGCTTCAGCAGCTTGAACTCCGGCACGGGTACTTCAAACAGACTGCCCGACTCGTGGATATCGGACATATCCCTTTCCAGGCGTTCCATGTCTCCGTTTATACGATTCAACAAGCTGTACGGATAGTTACAATCATACTTGAAGAATTCGTATGTCCGAAAAATATCCCTGAATAGGGTAATGTGCAGATCGAATGCGGCTATCTTGTTACGGATGCCAACAACTTCGTTCGCCTGCAGTGGCGCAACTTGCTGCTTAACAGTGAGTGCAATCTTTTTAGTATTGGCCCACTGTTCCGGTAGTTCTTGCAGATACACATTGACCTCTTCTGGGATATCCATGTCGTAGTATTTCAGTAGTTCAATGGTCTCCTTCATTGGTTCGAACATTTCGTCGGTGGTGGCGGTGCGTTCCTTGACGTGCAATAGGTAAGCCATAATATTTACTAATCCATCGTAGTCGCCTTCCTTCACAATCTGCAGCAGACCTTCGTCGGCCTTCCGTATAAATTTCCCCAAATCCGTAAGACTATAGGTGACGTTGGTAACTAGGTGATCTTTAAACATGTTGCCCCACTTTCTGACAATGTTCAACAATGACTGCCGGAATGGTCTTACATCGACTTGAAACCACGCGTTGAAAATTTGGTGCGGTTCTATCTTCTCTATTTCCAGGTATAATGACTCATAGTGATCAATCTGTTCACGAAAAGCTTCTATTGTTGGTGGGCAAGGTTGAGGTGCATCGGGATCTTTGTTAGATATCATCTCCAGTTCATCCATCTCTAGCTGTCGACCGTACTCCAGAAATATCTCCATGCTATACTCACGGTCTTCCAGCCAGAGGTAACTATATCGTTCGAAATCTCTACAGAATTGAGCCGCTTCTTGAATCACCCGGTCCACGCCTTGCAAAATCTCCACTTTCATATCTTGGATGTCAGTGTTCTTCATTACCTTCTGATCATAACTTTCATCGGAATTTTTCAGCAATCTGGGAATCAGCGATGACATGTAGGTAATATCCGTCACCAAGGCTGCCAGCAGTATGTTAAAACCATTCGGATCGTTGGGATTGAGTGATGGTACAAATACCAATTCTGGTTCCAGTAATTCCAACCTGGACTCAAACAGTGGCGCTAGGTTATTGTTCGGGTCCATGTTCTCTACAAGGTATCCCATGCTGCAATTGATTGTCATTATAGATCTCACCTTGTGTCTTCAAAATAACATTCCTACCTGATCCCAATCATGAACAACAAATTTTCATACGCAATATTATCAACAAATATAACGTATTTAACCCAATTCCAATCGTCTTGGCTTTCATCCATCCCGAACAGCTGCATATTTGCATCAAGCAACTGATGGACTTTGATAGCGGCAGCTTCCAGCTCACCATACCGCTTCGACTTACGATCATTACGCTCCTCCAGGCAAAGAACGGTATCCTTCTTGGAGTCCTTTCGTTCGAACAGAGGCGCCTTTGCCCAGGAAGACATGATCGTACGTATCTCCTTCAGATTGTTCTGTATGTTTTGCATACGACCTTGCAGCTGTTCGACCGGATTACGAATTTTGATCATATACTCGGTAATACCTGTAACAGTTGAATTACATTACAGAGTGTTGCCATCGTATTGTCAAATCACCAGAATCACTACCTTCAGAATTCCAAGTCAGTTCATTTATCGCCCTCTCCAGCAGTTCATCGATCATTTTTATCTCTCCCTTAATCAGCTCCAACTCCACCTCTGTGCAGTTGCGTCTGATTTTGTTGTACCAATCGACAGTTTTCTCCAGATTCAACGTGTACGAACGGAACACATCACTCTTTTCCGAAAACTCCAGTCCACGATCCGGAATGTCCTCCTTTTCCATCAATCGTAGATAGTGAACTTCCCTCAGGATTGAGGACAGATGTGGACTGAAGTTTAATGCCAATTCAGCGCAGTTGCGCTTTCTTACAATCAATGGTTTGTCGAGGTTTTCCTCGATTGTTTCATCGATCGATTCTGCCCACGCATCGAAGATGGATCGTTCGAACGCATTCAGTTTCTCAATCAATTCGTCATAGCGAACGACCAGCATTAACCCTTCGTCCGATTGGACGACCCTGAAAAACAACCGGTCTGAAAAAAAAATCCTTCTCCCTACACAGCGCCGAACTTACGGGTGCTGCAAAGTCTGGAACTGCTTGATCGGCTTCGTGATCCGGTTGGTAAGCTGTAGGACCCAGCGGAGACACGCCGTTACCGGGGGAGCACTTCGATCAACGAAAATGTGGCCGTCCTTGCGGTGGTACTCCATTTGCATGTCGTAAATATCCTCGCAAGTGCTGAGCTCTTCGTCGATCATGTACAGTATCTGGCGGTACTTGCCGGTGAATTCTTCTCGGATCTTCGGGCGATCCAGCACGGTTCCGACTATGCTGATCAGCTGTAAATTCGAACAAACGTTGAACCCCTTTCAGACGACAGCTACCATTCTCGTTGAGTATCAAATACCTTGAAAACGCTCTCCAGATTGTGACAATCATCGAAGGCCTGGCAGAGAATGGCCGCCAGTTTCAGATCCAGCTCCAAGATGCGGTCTTGAAACTTTACAAAGTCCTCCTTGAAGGTCGGATCGTCCGGATCCAACACGTCGTAGGTTTTCGAGGCGAACACCGAGAAGCACTGGTTAAACTCGACGGAAACACCCGTGATACGTGCGCTCAGTGCCCGCCCCTTTAGGCCACCGATTTCAACTTTCTCAAGTTTGAGAAATTCGATCACCGTATTAAAGAACCACTGGATGGTGAACAGTCGTTCGAGGAACGCGTTGAATCGCTCAAAAACGGCGTTCGGATGGAAAGTCCAGTTGACCACAGGGCGGTCTTTAAAGAACGGAGCGATGTTGTCTTTGTACTCATCGTACACGGTTCGGAAGTACTTGAGAATTTGAATCGACAGCGAGATGCGCTGCATGGCCTCATCGATGTCGCTATGGAAGATCGACGACGGATCGAGGAATCGCTTGGCCTACAAATATATATGGTTCGGGGTTTCAGACGTAGCGTGGTAGTGTTTTTGTTTTGTTTAGTTCTGATTAGCATATTGGATGTGAATGGTGTGAGCTACAGGTAAGTGGGTACTGCAAAATAACAAGTATCTTTTCCTATGACAATTTAATTAATAAATCATTGTCTAAGTGATGCACACAGCAAAAAATAAATTTTAACATTACATCCAAGAGGATGCATTCAATCATGTCGAAAATCTCATATATTTTTTATGGCCACAAAAATAAACAAATGCAGTAAAAGCAGCGTAATGTCAGTTCATGGACTGAATAAATGGTAATGTTGTGTTTTTTGGCAAGTAATATTACACCATACTTTTTGACACGATTGAAGTGCATCCACTTTGATGTGATATCAAAATTAATTTTTTGCTGTGCATGCTAATGAATGCAATATATTTAACTTACGCTAGCTAGTTAAGCATTTTTAGGTGCAGTGCACGAATTCTACAAGTGACCAAAATGCATTGTGTCTTCTCATGAATGTTTTCCAAAACTTTTAATAGTATTTTCTTGAGAAAATTTGTTCAAGTGTTCAAGGTTTTCAACTCGAATTCGTCATTTAGCTTCGGTTGGAAGATCCAAGTTTTACGAATTTGATCAACCGACCAATGAATCCATCACTAACTTAACTGGCTGGTTGAAACAACCAATTATTGGACCGAAGATTTAAATTAGTCAACCAACCAATCAGTTCATCAATCTACTGATTAGTTGATCGCGTAGCTACTTCCATAAGAATGCCACTTCCAGAAACATACTTATAATATATGTTTCTGGAAGTTTCCGGCAAGAGATTCAGAAGCTGTTATAATTCATGCCAATTTCTCAAGGACTTTTAAAAACAGTTTAAAAAGTTAAATAAATATTAGTGCTTAAAAGCTTTAGGAAATGTTCCAGGAAATCTAGGATAACTGTTTATAAACTACAAGAGAATATTGCCTTAAGATTTTCATCTGGAATTGTGTGAGTACTCCTGGAACTAGGGCTGTGAAGTCGGAACGGATTCGGGGCTATTTTTTTATGCATCTGGAGTCGAAACAAGTGATACTTTTACTATTCTACCGGTAAAAACAACATTAACTCTTAACTCCGAACCCAGATGATACCGGGAATGCCTCCGGTTCCGGCTCTTCTCCACAGCGCGGCCTGGAACCATGAGCATTCTTCAATAATATTGAATATTTTCATGAAGTTCGCTTACCAGCAAAATTTATGGACTGCGTTGTATTTTCGATGAGTTCTTGATTTTCTTTTGGGAACTCTTTCGAGTATTTTCAGAAATACATGAGCAATTCCCTACAAATTCGCAAATCGGTTTATTTTTGTATTTTTTTATTTGGTTGAAAATTTGCAGAAACGTTCCTTATGACCGACAATGTCATTTTGAATCTAGCCTTATTTTTGAAAAGGGGATATAGAAAAATATCAAGCTTATCTTCAGAAAAAATTTACTCGAAAACTGTTTGCCCGATCGGTTTGGTGTCTTCGGCAATATTGCAGATAATGGATGAGACTATTTGAAAAAAAAAATGCAACCCAAAAAAATTACCCAACTTTTTTTTCAATTTCAAATAAAATCTGTATTCAAAATAGTGATATGATGATGCAAAATGGCATTGTAGGTCATAAGGAACGTTTCTGCAAAATTTCAACCTAATAAAAAAAAAAAAAACAAAAATAAACCGATTTACGAATTTGTAGGGAATTGCTCACATTCAGTAAACATAAATCAGCTTTGATAATCTTCAATTTACTACGGCAACATAATCGAATTTTTGACTATCTTTGCAACACAGATGAGATGTTTTAAGTCGGTACTCAAAGTTTAAAAAGTATGAATGGGTATGAGAGTTTTAAAAATCAATTCCTTGCGTGCATAACGGGGTACCCATTTTGATGTTCAAATTAATGTAAAACCAAGTACATGGTTAAATTCCTAGAATCTTCTAACGGAATCCCGTACAGCAAGCTTTTGGAATGGGCTGAGTAATTTCATTTTAACTCCGTTATAATTGCTAATTTTTTGACAGATATACGTATTTCATTCACTACTTGTCGACTTCCTCAATTCAAAAATTCCTTGAGTTTTGATACTGTATAGCTCTGAAACTCTTCGATATTTTGTCGTGTACCAGTTTGATGAAATTTTATGAAAGTTGCGCTCTGGGAACGGCCCTGGCGTATTGGTTAACATCTATGCCGTTAAAGTCACCAAATTTCATCCCTGGGCAAGTCACGAATGACCCAAGAGTGTTAAAGTGACTTTAATAAGCCTACTCTCAACTTAGTGCTCTTTGAAGCACTTCCACAGTTTAAAACTGAAAGCTTACTATCCCAATGAATTTGAATTTGTGGATTGTTTGGCAAAGCACAGTTGATACCATAGAGGTAACTCTAAGACCAGAAGGTCCCGAAGAAACGTGCTCAACTTTTTGGCTCAGCTCTGGTACTCTCTTCGGTCCCAAGCTAATCGATGCACCCCTCGAAACATAGGAACATCCACGAACCCTTCATTTTATCTGTCAAACTTTCATAGCGAATCAAAACAAACATGGTGTAGTACTAGAATGTCGACTAGAATGGGGTACGTTAATAAATGTACTTGGGACCAATAGCCTAGTCAAGTAGTAAGCCAATTTAAAATCGTTAGTTTCCACCGGTTGGTGATACTCTATTCCCAGGGAAGTCGAGAAAATTTCCAACTGGAAAGATTTCCACGGGAATCAAAATCACCATCCAAGCCAACCGTCTCGAATGAACTTAATTCTCCTCTACCAGGGGAACAGTTTAAAGAGACGTTAATAGACGGAAGCACGGAAGCATCCAGGCCAAATAATAAAAACAAAAATATGTCTCGACCTTCTCCGATTTGCATGAAACTTTGCATAATTGTTTGATATGAGCAGGGTTCCTTCAGTTCATTTTGGCTAAAAACGTTTAATGAAATTATGGAATAATAAGATTTTATGATAATATTTTGTTTGTGTAAGGAACAAGAAAAGATTAAGAAGTATGTGTTTGACACATAATACCTGCCAATTTCGCTACATGAGAGTGGCAATAAGCTATTTTGTCATTTATCTCACCCACTCTTCGCTCTTCAATCTTCGGGAAGAGGCGATCAGAAAATCGCTCATTGTGACTCTGTCAAAGCTAAATTTGCAGGTTTTATGTGTCAAACACAAACTTTAAAAACTTTTCTTGTTACCTACACATACAAAATATCATCATTTTACTCTGTTCGGGACTTAACACCACTGCGACCAGTAATTTGATTTATTGTAGTATATCCCGTGTCCTTAGTTTAGTGCATGTCGTATTACTCCGTCACTCATTATATCTTATTATTCCATAATTTCATAAAACATTTTTTTAGCTATGAACATTTTATACTATAGATGAGGAGATAAAAGTATAAAATTGATAGTTCCGTTATAGTACGGCAGTGTGAAAATCGTATATAGAAAGAAGAAAACGAGCAAAGGACAATTTAGAGGAAGGTACGAATCATATCGAGCATTCTTTTTACCGAACTTACGCGTTGGTGAGGGGCGGTGAAGGGTATTTCCCCTCAGCACCACTGGCAAAAGGAATGATCGCCGATTTGCACATGATTGTTACACACTCAAGTAGCCATCCCAAGTAACAAACCTAGAGCGACTTGGTTTAAGCCTCGCGCGCGGAATACAGGTATCCAGTATTTTACGATCGCTTATGGCCGCCACAATCTGGCTGAGTTTCTGGTAGGGAACATAAGATTTGAAGTTTGGCTTGTGTCGTTTGACGTGTAAACGATCAAATTTGAACGTTTACACGTTAAACGACACAACCCAAACGTCAAATCATATGTTCCCTACCAAAAACTCAGCCAGATTGTGGTGGCCATAAGCGCTCGTAAAATGCTGGATAAATGGCTGGAAGTCGTTTCCCTGGATAAAGTCCTGGCACTGCGGAAGCTTATACGTGTAAATCCCAGGGTACGTGTAAATGGAAGTATGGTCGAGGATTATACTTGGACTCTTGATAACTTTACACACTTTACAGGTTACACCTGTAAATGTTTTTGGTTTATGCCTATAACATATTTAACAGGGAATTTATATCTGTAATTGTAACCAGCTCGATTTTGTTAAAAATGTTGTTTAAAATGTTTTTATTTAATAGTCTTAAAGATAACTCGTCCAGCTCAAACCTTTGTAGGGGTAAGAGGTGGAGCCATCATCATCATCATCATCGTCATGATCATCAACACGATCATCATCATCATCATCATCATTCATTTGAATTTTATAAAGCTTTTATTGCAGCAACAACAATCTCCAATAGTTTTTTTAAGGTGTAACAATTTCCAGCTGAAGAAACGCTTTCGTTTTGATTTTGTTCAGCTGCATGTTGAATAATAATTGCACAATGTGTTCACCACAACTTTTATAAAACCCTTGTTTACACTGGTTTGGAGAACCTATACAACTGCAACACAAAGGTGTTGTCTAACGTATTCAGTAAAACGTTTACCCAACATCAATTTCTTGTTGAAGAAACGCTTCCATTGTGATTTTATTCAACTGCATGCTGAATAATAACTGTACAATTTGTTTATTACAACTTCTGTAGAACTCTTGTTTACACTGGTTTGGAGAACCTGTTCAACTACAGCATTATATGTATACGCGGTATAGGAGTAGAAGCAACTTTTATACAACGTTTATAGATACATATTTAAACTCAAGCTTTATTATTTTGGTGAAAGCTCTTATAAAACGTTTGTAGACACTTCTTGACAGCTGCTTTGAAATTTAGTAGAGAGTAAACCTGAGAGGCGTTTGTTGCACTCTTTTATGACTCCTAAATAATCATTGTACAGCAAGCGGTGAAAAGCGTTTATAGCACTTTTCAATGACTCCTTAACAACCGGATAGAAGCAACTTTTATGCAACGTTTATAGATACATATTTAA